TAGCTCTTCCCTGACGGTAAAAGACAGGTGTTTGTAAACATGAAGCAATGATGCATGGATGTATTTAAGCCCTTTCCTGGCTGCATCTCTAAACAGGTAAATAATCCACAGCTTAATCATGTAAAACAAACCCCTAACTGATTGTCAAAGATTGTTATTGATCTGCTAGAACACCAGTTACTGAGTGTGGAAATGTCATGTACATGTGATTGTTCAGATCAAAAGAGATTATCACGCAAGTGTGTTTTGGGATGGTAAATATCCTGTATTAGGAATAAACCTCGTATTTAGCAGGCCTTTGCCATTTCCATTTCCTATACCATAGATCACCAGTGAGATAACCTCTTTATCATATAATGTCGTTTGTATGTTCTGTTGTCGAAAAGAGTATTGCCATTTTTTACACACGATACCTAAATATTGCAGGTTTTCCTAATATTACATCAGATTTGTTTGTTTGTTGTTTAACGCTGCACTCAGCAATATTCCAGCTATATGATGGTGGTCTGTAAATAATCGAGTCTGGACCAGACAATCCAGTGATTGACATCATGAGCATCGATCCACACAATTGGGATCGATGACATTAATCAACCAAGTCAGCGAGTCTGACCACCCGATCCCATTAGTCACCTCTTACAACAAGCATAGTCGCCTTTTCATGGCAGGCATGGGTTGCTGAAGACCTATTCTACCCCGAATCACAGTGTCTATTACATCAGAAGGTCAGTGATTAGCCTGGCAGAGACCAAGTCAATATAGTCCCTACTGAAAATTGTGTTTTAGACAGTGGCATAACTACCATATAGGCGAAAACACAATTGTCAACTGATAATGTTTCAATGTTCAGCCTTTTGCAGTCCCAGGAGAGTAATTGCCCTTTGTCAAAGGGAAGCTACTCTAGTCTATAAGATGTTCATATGTTTAGAGACCTGGCCTGTCATAATGTTATGAAATGCAGTCAAATGTCCAACAGAGTAATAAAAATGAAAGAAGGTAACATATTTTAACCAAATCAAACTGCTTTAAATTCATGAAATCACACTAAGATGTACTCAGGTCTACAAGCACAGATATGGAAACTTATAACTCTATATATCGTTTTCACTGACATTAATACTGACAATAATAAATCCAAAACCCTGAAGGTCATTTGTGACTCGATTAGTGACAGATTGGGGCGAGGCCAAGGTTCTAAACACTGAAAGGAGCTTTTATATTTGCATTTTTATCTGTAAATGACCCTAACGAATACCGTGTTTATCTGTTGGCTTTATCCTGCCTAGAAACCGACACATTATATGATCAACAATGTTATCTGACCGGTAATGAACATCTTACTTTGCAGGATAACTTAGGATTGGATGTATTTGTTGTTTTTATCTCTTGAAAACAATCAGAAAAAGATGAGACTCTGTGTAGAAAAGTGAACTTAGATCATGGCATCAGGGATTTTTACTTACACATGAAATTTACAAAATTTACAAAGCTATTTGTCTTGGGAGCAGGGCCCTATTCCTCAAAGGGATTTTAGCTCTAAGACATCATAACTCCCATACTTTAACATAGACATGACAGTCATAGCATTAAGATCTCTTTGTGGAATGGAGCCCGAACCAATTACATTCCCTGTTTTACCGGTATATGGCAGTGTTCCCAAGGTCAGAAGGCAAAATTAACAAGAATGGTGTCAGACTTAGAGATAGCCTGTCTCACAGTCCCTGAACCATATTATATTCCCTTCTGCCCACCCCTTCTATAATGCAAACGCCTTAAATGAAGCAAGGCTAGATTTTCCTCAGGTTCAGGCCATTTCACTTGGGCTTCTTTTCAATTTAAATGGAATTTTGTGGTTCTATCACAATTATATATTTTCAGAGACTAAGCATTAGTCTAACTAAGTGTCTAATAGCTTAACCATTTTCTTTTAAAAAACATTTCAACTCTTGACATAAATAATTTTAACAAAAGTAGAAATGAAAAAATGTTAAAAAAACATTTTCTGTCAACAAAGCATCTTTATTATTATTCATTACACTTTGGTTAAATGTATTCTAGTAGGCCTGGGACACCTCCAAATTTACTACCCGGGTACCCAACCTCTATGACTCGACCCTACCCGGGTACCCACTGTAGGCCTCAAGAGATAGGAACAAAATGTCCGATTGGGAATTTTTTTACCATAGCCCTGGCAAAACGTTTTTAGATACACATACTTAACAATCTGGTCATGCATACACTGAAGATAACTTAAGTTATATAGATCTTTATTCAGCCATATGAAAAGTCAGAAGTAATGGGTGCATAATTTTTGTCATTTAACAATATATCATGTGTCTAACCACGGGTCCGGGTAGTCCTGTGGGTACTCGGGTCCTACTTAGTACCCACCCGACCCGGGTACCCGAGTTACCCGTCCCAGCCCTATATTCTAGTATCATCTAAAAAAATGGTCTTGCCTAGAGAATGTAAACCGAATGACTGTTGATGTAAAGAGATTCTGTTAAATTGTGTAACAGCTTAAACTGAAACTAGGCTAGCCTACTTTTAAAATTCCCAATTGACGTCATATCCTGAAATATTATTATCAGTAAGTTTACATTATCACAAGGAGCTTCCAAGTTCTACTTGTGGTCAGGACCAAACTTATCATCAAGGGAAAAAGGGTTTTCTGAAGTAGACAATATCATCGTCTGTCATCCATTGTTATAAATAAGTCTGTATTTTTATCAGATTATTCCACTTAGAATCAGAGCCAAGTTTTCAAGAACATATCTCTTCCGAGTGCCATGGTGCTTGGCACCCCCTCTCCGATCGATACCTGAAATGTCTTGGAACCTCGGATATTTTACTTGTGAGACAGAGATAAAGCAAGACATTGATGGCTTCCCTTGAATGTTGAAGTTTAGTTGTTATGGCAATTTAGATCTATTCACCACAGTCTCTTGTGTCAGATGATGCTGAACGTGGATTTTTATCTTAAATCTTTTTTCAGAAAAATGAAATCTGTGCGTTTGTTCTTTGTTATAAAGTGTCAGTGTGCAAGTTATAGTCCTATGAAGATCAATCTCATTAAAATCAGATCTTTGTACTCGCTACCGCTAAACAAAGATCTCAGGACATCCCATTAGGGGTCAAGTCAGAGTGACTTTTCATCCAACCAATCAGAGTGTCGCTTACCAGATCATGAAAGTGACAGTCGGAATGTGTTTTCTAATCATGCAACCACGAAATATTTAACGTGGGGTATTCCGAACGACAGTTACGGATTTTATGATTACATCCATACAATCTAGGCCATCTATAAGGCATTCTAGAATGTTCTTCTTATCAGTTTTAGGTTTTTTTATCGAGAATGTGTCAAAATATGTTTCGAAGCGTAGTCGCCAGTTTGAAACTAGTGTCACAAAGCACAAGAAAGCTGCCTTCTGATTTGCTAATGTCGATTTCTTGTCAGTCATTTCATTGGTCGGTCAAAATTCGCGAAATGTCGTTCTGACGTGACCCATAATGAGATGTCCTCAGATCTTTGTTTAGCGGTAGCGAGAACTAAGATCTGATTTTAATGAGATTGTTTGAAGATTGGCTGTTAGTGACCAACCATTTCAATTTCAGGGGGTGTGGGTGAGGGATGGGGGTGTGGGTGTGGGATGGAGGGTTGTGTGGTCCTAGTCGTGTTTGTTTCATGACCCACTGACTCTGAAACAGACTGTTATCAATGGAAGTAGACAAAAAATAGTTCAATGAAAGTAGCACACTATTTTGATGCCGTAACACATATATACACATATACATATATCATATTAAGTACACCATTCTTGTCAGAAAAGCTGCATTCCTCCGTTTCCAAACTGTGCATCTGCACTAGTGGATGCCCTGACAAAATGGATTCCTCAATATGGATATGGCTCTAGCATTGAGTTATTTCTCTCAATTTCTTACTGTATGCAACAAGCTTCAGTTGATGGTGTTATGAATCATTCAAGGTTACAAAACTAAGCATTCAACTCACAGAACATTGCACAGAACTACTTACATTAAAAAAATGTTTTTGTCGTAAAATGGGATTTAATTTACTTTTTGTTTGATATATACCGGTAACACTTTCTGTGTGATGATCTGACCTTTAGTCTGTGATTCTCAGCTGCACAGTGTTATGGTGGGGAAAGATGTACTCTTGAACACTCTCACCCACTGCAGTTCAAGATGCACAGTGACCATAAAAAAATATCCTCGATTATTGAGAGTATCATATCTCCATTTGATCATCGATCGCCTCAGTGGTCTAGTGGTAGAGCGTCCGCCCGGAGAGCGGAAGGTCCGGGGTTCGATCCCCGACCGCGTCATACCAAAAGACGTTAAAAGATGGTACTTGTTGTCACCCTGTCTGGCGCTCGGCATTAAGGGGATAAAACAAGGACTGGTCGGCTCGGAGTCAGTATACTGTGTCTGAGTTTGGTATTCATGTTAAACTGCAGCATGGTATCTCAGTGGGCTAGCACTATAAATCGGGATCAGTCCGGACTAGTACAAGCAGCCACACAAACACACACACGTACATGCACGTCGCTATAAAAGTGCAATAATCTTGGACGCGATGTTAAACCCCATTTCACCTCACCTCACCATTTGATCATCAAAGGCGTTAATTATGAATCTATGTTTTGCCATAACGATTTATGCTTAAAACTATAATAACTATAAAACCTTTAAAGATTGTTAATCATAAATTATACCTTAATACATCAAATATTAAAATATACTGAAACAGTTTGAAAATGCACAGTGGAGTTCATCTTTCCAGGGCAAGGATTGATTAAAATTTTGAAAACCTGAAAATATTCCACAGGAACAAAACTCCTGGCATGTCGATTCCACCAGAACAAATATTCCGATGCTTACCATTGTTGTCTTTATTTTGTTTGTTTGCTATTTAAATATGGCAATTAAAATGCCAGTCTGTAGTATGCAAACAAGCCACATCTCGATTCTGTTTGCAGATCTCTTTCAAAGAGCTGGACCTGGAGGAAATGTACCATCACTACAGCATCCAGATCAAACAGTCCCTCATCGTCATGTACCTCGGACTGGACATCGCGGTGTCCATCATGATGATCATCATCCATCTGGCAAACGGAGAGGTGCACAAGGTAGGGGAGACAACTCTGTATCGACTGAGAATTGTGTCCTAATTTCAAATTTGTGCTCGTTTTCTGTGTGATTACAGTAGAACATGGATATAACGAACTACAAGGGACCAGAGAAATCAGTTGTTCGTTATATATGTTTTCGCTCGGAAACATCCGCCATCTTGTGTAAAACAAAACACAATACACGTAATTGCAGCACTGACTTGTATCAATAGTGATCACTTCATAGCATTGGATTGATAACATTTTGCATTCATTAAAGTTTAACAATGTTGACCCGTCACCGCTGATTGTGTTGATTCGCCGCGATTGTGTTGATTCACCGCTGATTGCGTACAGCTAATTGTCAGTGACACTTGACACTGAGTGAGATTTCTTAGTTCGCTATACACTTCACTAATTAGTGATAGATGGGCTTGTTGATGATCAGATATCAGTTCGCTGTATCCGTTAGTTCGCTGTAGAGAGTTCGTTATATACGTAAATTATTTATAATATTATAGATAAATCGGGTATTTTTTAACAGTTCGTTGTATCCGTTTGTTCGCTATATCCGTGTTCGTTATATCTGTGTTCTACTGTACTCCTCAATATAAGTAGACTGCCTCATGACAAGTGATGTTTTACTGCAAATTTCCCATTTGTATTGACCAAGTTATCACCTGTTCATTTACCTGAAGGGTCAACAGTCAATATTGACACATAAATGTGTAGTTTAAATAATGCAAGCAAATATCACTCGCATCTTTTGCATTAATGATAGATTTACAGTATTTACACAATATTCTGTTGATGGGGCGGTCGGGTAGCCTAGTGGTTAAAGTGTTCGCTCGTCACGCCGAAGACCTGGGTTCGATTCCTGACATGGCTACAATGTGTGAAGCCCATTTCTGGTGTCCCCCGCCGTGATATTGCTGGAATATTGCTAAAAGCGGCGTAAAACCATACTCACTCACTCACTCAATATTCTGTTGACAAATATCTTTTAAGACAACAAAGCAGTCATTACTTTAAGCACCAAAATGACCGCTTCTGTGGTCGAGTGGTAGAGCGTCCGCCCGGAGAGCGGAAGGTCCGGGGTTTGATCCTTGTCCGCGTCATACCAAAATTGTTAAAAGATGGTATTTGTTGTTACCCTGCTTGGCATTCGGCATTAAGGGGCAAAATCAAAGACTGGTTGGTTCAGAGTCAGTATACTGTGTCTGAGTGTGGTATTCATGTTAAACTGCGGCATGGTATCTCAGTGTGCTAGCACTATGAAATTGGCATCAGTCCGGACTAGTACAAGCAGCAACACACACAAACAAACAAACAAACAAACAAACAAACAAACAAACAAACAAACAAACAAACAAACAAACAAACAAACAAACAAACAAACAAACAAACAAACAAACAAACAAACAAACAAACAAACAAACAAACAAACAAACAAACAAACAAACAAACAAACAAACAAACAAACAAACAAACAAACAAACAAACAAACAAACAAACAAACAAACAAACAAACAAACAAACAAACAAACAAACAAACAAACAAACAAACAAACACACACACACACACACACACACACACACACACACACACACACACACACACACACACACACACACACACACACACACACACACACACACACACACACACACACACACACACACACACACACACACACACACACACACACACACACACACACACACACACACACACACACACACACACACACACACAACCTATATAAGTGCAATAATCTTGGACGCGACATTAAACCCCATTTACCCTCACCTTAAGCACCGAAACGAGCAATGCCAGCAAGTGGGAAGCCAGTCGTCAGACCAATGAGTGCTGAGATTACGTGTACATCACACAAACAGCAATGTTTCTCCCTTGGATATGTCCAACATGTGCCACAGCCTTGTGGCATCTGCTCTGCATGCTGCTTTGATGGCAGACAATGGTAGGGTCTGCTTTATGTTCATGCACTGAGTAGAGCTCATCTGACTTCCTTGAGATCTAAACAGCCTTCTTTTGTTACTTATTTAAACCAAAAAAAGATATGTGTCACTACTACCGCAAAGTGGCCAAACGTAGTCACAGGTGATGGAGCAACCGCCAGGGATTTATCTTAGATTCACAAGGCAGACATGTTATTTTGTTCATTTTTGTTTTGTTAAAAAATTTGTTATTTAACATGTCAGCGCAAAAATGTAAAACAAAGCATATGAGGTTCTTTCACTTTATTTGTCCTGTTCTCAGTGAAGTACAAATCTACAAACCATAACATTGGTTTTGGAATTTTTAAATTTCATTTTGGGAATTTGTTTTGACATTGGCTGCGGATTGGGGCCAAATATTGGCCCCTGAACAATGTATAGTGTAGGAAGAACTTGTGAATTATTTACAATCTGTAATATGTATACAAAATGAATCAATGATCCTGATTAGTACCCAGCTGAAATGACAATGGAAATACAGTCAAGTCCCGTTAATCCGACATCGATGGTTGTGTAGCCGGGGTAGTGGTATTTATCCGGCTCGGGCCGTTGGGAAACACAGACACAGGCAGATGGTGATAATGGATTTATTGCTAGGGGGGTGGCTGCTGTTGAAGAACTACCTGAAGAAAAGAAAATGTCCTTCCTCCTCAACAGCAGCACATGAAGTGATATATTTGCAAGTTTACAGGTATTATTTATCTTAAATATAAAAGTACAAAAGCCATTGATAAACTATACTAAAACTAACTTTAATGTTAAATTACTGTTATATGTTCATTATAGGATACTTGGAAAGCACATGGTCCAAAATGGACCATGTGGTTAATTATTTTACAAGCAAGTTTTATAATATCAATATTCCATTTACTAATTTAATATTACTTTAAATGATATTATATATATATTATTCAATTTAATTCAGCACCCTAATATAGATATTAATTTCTGACAGAAGCAGATGAAAACAGATTGAAATATGGCCATTCCATACCTGAAGAAAAGAAAATGTCCTTCCTCCTCAACAGCAGCACATGAAGTGAGGAGGAAGTCAGGTATGGAAGGAAGCTACCTGTAGAGGACCAGGGTGGCCAATTAGAAGACAGATTGCATTAAGCATCAAAGGAAGTGCTTAATGCAAGATATAAATAGACTGAGGGAAACCCTACAGGTGTAAAAAATGTCTAAAGATAGACAGAAGGTTGAAGGGGAAGATCTGGTGAGAGATTCCCAGAGACTGAAAATAAGGGTGTTGAGTTGTTTAAAGAGTTAGATACTGATATTCAACTGTAGACAAGACAAACATTGAACATATAGATGATTATGATGATGATGTATGAATAATGATATAACTATAGGAAGAATATAAGGTACCCTGCTACACGCACCCCCCTTTTGGGAATGGTGCCCTCACCATACGCAGCTGAAAACAGACGAACAGCCAAGGAAAGGAGCAGGATAACAAAAGGTTGCAGAAAATTAAACCTGAGAAAGCAATAACATGTGCTCAAACATATATACAATGGACTAAGTAGAGAACTATACCCAAACCATGTTCTGTTTCACCACCCATTGACCGTCAGTCATCCACTTTGGTTTCTGGCGTGACCTGCCAGGTCTTGTAACCACTGGTGGGGTGACAGAAGATAATTCTGGAAGCTGGAAGGCACTGGGGAAGTCGAAATTCCTCCAGGCAACTCGAGTGACGGCAACACCATAGATGGCGTCGTTGAAGAGGGAACACCAGATAATTGAGCTGGTGGTGACCTTGGAAACGAAGGAGTTTCAACCGGCTGACCCAATGGAGAACCCCCAGGCACTGGAGATAAAGGAATTTCCACATCCAGGTCGGTTGTAGAAATCTCCAAAGCGGTGTTGGAGGTATCACCAGGTACAGCGGAAGCTCCTAGAGAAGGCGGAGGGCTCCGAGGTTTAGGAATGGGACGGCCATCCGAACCAATGGGAAGGAGTAAATTGCGGTGAAGTACACGATGCTCCCTAGTGCCTTCCTTGCGGACTTTAAACACAGGAACATTAGAATTCGGCTGTGATTCCACCACATAGAAATCTTTCTCCCATCGGTCGGCAAGCTTCTGTTTCCCACGAATGTTGACATTGCGGACCAACACAACATCACCTACCTTAACAGTAGCACCACGAGCCTTCAGATTATAAGTCTTCCTCTGTTTGGCCCGGGCCTTGTCCATGTTTTGAGTAGCGAGCTCATACGCAGTTGTCAACTTGCGCTTCAAATCAGCAGCAAACTGCGTATAAGATGGCGATGAAGTGTTGGCGAGAGACGTGCCAAAGGCAACATCAACAGGCAGTCTAGGATGTCTGCCGAACATGAGAAAGTAGGGCGTGAACCCAGAAGACTCGTGCAAGGTACAGTTATAGGCATGGACCACATGAGCAATATGGTCCTTCCAACGTGCCTTTTCCTGATCCTGCAGAGTCCCGAGCATCCCAAGAAGTGTCCGGTTAAACCGTTCACATAACCCGTTCCCCATGGGGTGATAGGGAGTTGTCCTTGTTTTCTGTATCCCAAGTATGCTGCACATTTGTTTGATAACATCACTTTCGAAATTCCGTCCCTGATCTGAATGTAACCTTTCAGGGAGGCCATAGTGTACGATAAAGTGCTCAAACAAGGCCTTTGCTGTTGTTCGCGCTGTTTGATTACGAGTTGGAATCGCAACAGCATACTTGGTGAAGTGGTCAGTAATGACCAGAACATTTTCGTAACCACCAGATGAAGGTTCCAGACTGAGATAGTCAACACACACCATTTCCATGGGTTGAGTGGTCTGAATGTTGACCAATGGTGCGCGCTCAGTCTGATTAGGAGCTTTCCGAAGAATGCACCTCTGGCAGCTACGAATGTGGTTCTCGACATCTCCCATCATTCCTGGCCAATAAAACCTCGTCCGTAGGAGAGCCACAGTCCTGTCCCTACCCAGATGCCCCATCCCGTCATGAAGATGAGTAATGACGGATTC